GGTTGTAACGTGGCTTATAGTTAGGTGGAAAATATTTGGATATGTGACTCAAGAGCTATCGAAACTAGTGGAGTAAAGATAAATAGACTTAGTACAAACATATATACAAGACATGTAAAACCAACTACTCCACATAATAGCTTCTTCATTTTGCATCTATCCCAAACAAATCGAACTCTTTCTTGAGATGTAGGAAGAGTTATGAATATAGATCTTTTTCAATATTGAAATTACTCTCCTCCACCACGTATTTTCTTTTTCTTTTCTTTCAATCATTCATTTTTTTCCTCTTCTTTTATTTTTCTTACACAATGTAAACTCCAAATAATACACCAATAATGGAACTCCATGAATTGATATAGAAAATGTGTTCCAATTCACCAGTAATAACACTATCATAAATCTTGATACCCCACACTTATTTTCTTACACAACCACACATATCATGATATTGAACAATGCTCAACTAGCTCTAAGGATTTGGTAAAAACACTGTTTTTCCAGTTTAAAACTTGTAATGTAAGTTTATATAAAGAAAAAACAGTAAGGCTCAAGGGGCTTGACAATGGAAGAATCAATTACAGGGATGACTATTTGGCTAATGAAACTCATTTATGTAATAAATATGACCTTAATCATATTCATGCATGCATCTGTCAATGTGATCTTGAAGAAAATCAAAGCAAATTCTAGAGAAACAAAACCATGGAAGAATATCACACATGAAAAAAAATAATGAGACTGTTATAGATGTATCAGTCTAAAAGCTCAAAAATCTCACCTGCTTTTGTCCACAAAATTTAGTTACTACCATCTTCAAAATAAATAACCCAACCAATTAACTCTAAGTTGGAAGATTATTCATTCAATCATGTTTTGAGTTTTTCAAAAATCTAATTAATTCTTGCAAATAGTATACACAACAAAAAAATCATGTAACCTCAACTCCTCTTTTTGAAAAAGCATACAAAAATTTTTAAAAATTAAACTCACTCAATCTAAATGTAATCTAAATCTAAATCTTCTCCCCCACACTTAAAACTTACATTGTCCCCAATGTAAGGTGCAATGTAAAGAAAAAGACAAAGATAACAAAAATATGAATGTGAAAAACAAAAAAATA